GCATGTGCTGTGCGATACTGACATTAATTTCCTAATCAATATTATTGCTCCACATTGTTTGTGAAACATGGGATTATCTAGATAGAGGATAAAACCAAAAGGAGTCAAGTTGCACTTTGAGCAGAGAGGGCTTTTCTTTTAATCAGGCATTTGGTTAAGATAATAGGCTTGAGACCCTAATTGAGTATTCCTATTTTAAGGTTTTAAGATGGCTATGTATAGTGAGATGGCTTTAGAAATGGCTTCACTGCTAGTTTGGGGGACTTGTGTGATTTCAAAACATTGAAAAGGAATCAAAGCCTCCCAAAAAGCTGTTCTCCAAAGCTTAATACGTTGTTACTTGGACTTCAGTAGAAGTGAAATAACTGGATTTGGACTTCTTCGTCTTCAAAGGAATAACTCTTTCCTGTTGGTATTTAAGCTTGGATTTCAGGAAACCAGCTGTATCTCTGTTTAGAAAATATTTTGTATATTTATGGTGCAACCTAACTATTTGAGAATAAAAATAATACTGTTGGATTACACAAGGAAGCCTGCTAATTAAAGAACAATAATACCTTGAGCACCTTGAAAACATCTTCTGATATTCAATTAAGGAACAATAACCCGATGAACTTTAACCTATAGACCATATTCAGACTTTCTACATAAAAGTAATTGCATCAGTCATGATTTTCTCAAGCTACAACACAAGCTCTTGATTGGTAGCTCAGCGTCTGAGCCTCCCTTTTACAGCATTAATTGGGAAAGCAGACAATACTCTCCCTGTAAACTAGATTTTAGGACGAAGGTTAGTTGCCTTTGTACACGTTTACTCATTGAAATAGGAATGTTTGCTTAATAATTCAAAACAAATAGCATTAGACAACAAGTCCTAATCCTGATTTCTCCTCTGCCAGTGTAAATTAGGAGAAAATTAGGTGAAACTCTATTTGATCAGTGTAGAAAGATTTGTTTAAAACTTCTTTGACATCAGAATTAGGCTCCAGCAATTCAAGCCTTTTCTTTACTGAGATCTAAAAGGAGAATATGTAAATCGCATTATTAATTTTCTCCCCAATTAAAGCAGTCATCAAGTTGTGGAAAGACGTTTTTCATGTGGTACTTGTTATGATAGTCTTGCATTGCGTTTATACGCTATACCAAACATGTGATTGGGCAACAACATTATTTATTAGTTAGTATCCTGGTCTGCTTTATTCTATTTGGTCTTGTTAGCCTGGGGTTTTCCCCCCTTGGGGAAAAAACGATCATCCTCGTGAGGTCTTGTGTAATGAGCTGACTCCTAGCTGGACCTAGACTGGGGCTGAAGGCCGTGATTCAACAATATATTTAAATACCTGATGTCAGCCCATCTGTATTTGGCAGAGCAAATCGGCATGTGCTTTCGTCAAGCATGTGATTAAAAGGAAGCACGTGCTCTGACTGCTGTGCTGAGTCAGGGCCTGCCCTGGCTAGCCCAGTGTCTTAATTTGTACCCAGAATTTCAGGGAACAATCCCTGTTAGTTTTTTAGAAAGTGAGTAAAAATCCTCTCACCCTCATTTTGAACACCTGCTTTACTACAGAAATGTGACTGTTGCACCAAGCTGCGGAGATAACCCCATCCCATGCAGCAATTTCAGTGTCCTAGCCTTGGGATATTTAGCAAAAGTACCGCAGTACACATATGTCAGTAAAGTGCCCTATGAAAAGGAAATCTTGCAAGCTTTCAAGATGTTTAATCATCTTTCCAGTAAAGGAGCTCGTTAATACTAACATCTGCATATGGAATTGCTTGACTTTACCTATTTTTTTCTCATTCAGAATGACGTGGAACAGCCCAAATGGATATATTTTTGCATTTTGACCCCTGTTAATAGGCGCAAAATGTTTACTTCACATGTATTGTCAATCCTGCTGTTCCCCAGTCATTCTTCTTTTGCACGTCTAGCTTCTTTGTCCTGTTTCTCTCATCACAGCTCAGCAAAAGCTGCAGTCTTAGGCCTGGATTTTGCAATCTGAACCGTCCAGGCAAACCTTTAAACTTTCATGGGGTTCCACCGAACTGGGAATTCACAGCCCAGCCGTGCATCGCAGTGAGCCCAGGATACAGCTCTAAGCCAAGGGCATTGCTTTTGTGGCTATCGAGATATAATTAATGATTGGTGAGATGAGCCCCTGATTTCCTAATGTCTATAAGTAAATAACAAATTGGAGAATTGTGAAATTCACCTTTCATTTGTGAAATGTTTATTTTCAGTACCGAAGGATGAAAATCCAATCACTCTCGTTGCATGCTGTTGTTTAATGATTACTATTACATGCACACGCGTAAGAAATGTTCTCACAGAAGTAAATGGACATTTCAGGTATACCCAGCAACATAAAAATAATGAAGTTAGCAGGCCCAAGCTAACTTATTCAACCTTTCTCATGCCCTGCAGCATTCTGGGAGCTAGAATGTATTTTAAACCCTTCTACGGCATTTTCGTTTCTGTTTTTACCTCTGTTTGCTGGTTTAAGGTAACTCAGCCAGCTCTGCTACAATCACATTTTTCTCGGATGATTCCAAAGAGCTCTAGACTTTCCCTTCAAAAATCTGACATATGTCCTACCATAGCTGTGATTTGTTTTTTACTTCCATACATAAATTTCACCTTCACTCTCAGTGCGAAAGGAACCTGCCTGAGCAATGCAGCTGGAAGCGGACAGCAGAGCAGAGCCAGGATGGTGCGCTGTGAAAAACCAGCACGTGACAGATGTTGGTAGCGTTGACGAATGCACTTCTGGAAGTTGCTCAGCCACTGCCATGACGAGCACAGTGTGAGAAGTTATATAGCATAGACTGGCTTCCCTACGAAGGGCTCTGCGGAGTAGTAAGCGTCCTGGCCCCGGTCCAGCAAGGCACTTAAGCATATGCTTAATTTTAGGCACATGAGTGGTTTCAGTGAAGACCTAAGAGAATTATTTTTAATTCACAGATCATTTAATTCAATAGGCAGGTCTGCTGCAGCATATGAAAAGTAGATCTTCATATTAAAAATACTGGGGAAATTGTCAATGCACAAACGTTGCGTATGGCCAGCAACCATTGCTAAAAAGCAGAATGATGTACTCATCACCTTCATTATGGTAAAACATAAAGCAGATCAGGCGAAAGCATTTACAATTATCTGAGAGCTACTTCTAAGTGGAAAATAAGGAAAAATAAAAGCTTCTAAGAACATTTTCTCATTTGAAGTAGAGAAAAATTTATTCTCTTGATGTAAATAAAAACCTTGTTTGCAGATTGAGGAATTTGTTTGTGTTGAATTTCAGCATCAATTTCAATATTTTATAGTACATTTATCTACAGCTGGAGCATGACAGATTTGTGTATATTTATATGTTTGTGTACATAATACATATGTATACACACATACACAAGGATGCCCAAAGATATACATATACACAGTTTGGAAACTCATCGTTATTGCTGAAGTATAAAAACATGCCTGATGTAGAAACTTGTCTCAAGTCTGGTAGCTTAGTGACTGCGTTCTTTTGGCAGCGTAGGATCCTCACAGAGACAGGGAAATTCTTCCGTGCAGGAGCTGAATTTGCTCAGGACTTGGCTGGCGATGAACGGCTGACCTCCCTCCAGATCCCTCCCAAACCTCTCCCTGACATGTCACCCTCTGGAGTCCTGCACACAAGATGTATTTCTTTTACTTCTTTTTCTGCACATAGAAATGGCAATGGGATATCTTGTTTTTTTTGGAAAAAAACCCCAAAAGAAAGACAGGAGAATAAATATACAGCTTGCATTAGTCCTGTTGCTCTGTTCGCTATAGGAAGGTGCACAGGTACTGCCATGATGAGCGCGGGGTACGGTAGAATATACTGAACATGGGGAAATTGTACTGAATCTGACAAACAAATAACAACGGAGCAGATGGTGGCCCTGCAAAACATTCAATAATATATGTGTGCGTGCGCTGGAATCGGTGACTCTAAGTAGGACAACCTAAAAAGGTATGCCACTTATCCTGTGGACAAGTAGGACTTTACAGTTCTTTTAATAATCTCTTTATCCTGAGATTTCTCCTTTGACCCTGATTTCAAAAGCACGAGGTCAGTCTGGCCGACTAGCTGCAGCCCTCTGATTGAAGTCCCGATACGTCCCGCGTGAACTGTTCCGCACACGTCCGCTGGGTTGCAGCCCCAAAGCTGCTCCTTTTGTAATTGATCATACCCGTGAAAATTAAATGAACATTTGGTGGTAGGCATGTTTTCAGAGAAGAAGGAAAATACTGTTATGTAAAGTGTAATAACATTTTGATACCAAGTGTAGAGGCATTCCTTGCACAAGGGAGGCGAGCGTGGAAGCGTACACCCTGGTTCCTACAGACAGTCCAAGGCTCAAAGTTAATACTTTTCTTATGCAGAGATTTATTTTTCTTTTCAAAAGCTAGTTTTATACGTTAGAATTTTTTTTCTGTGGGAAAGGCATTCATTTTATTTTTTTTTAAACCAGCTTCTGTTTTAAAATTTCCCTAGTGTAACCTTAGAAAAAATGAAGAGTACATCTTTAAATCTTGTTTTGTTTGAATGAATGGGTAGATAATCCTGATCAGATGTTTCTTTAGAGAATAATGTTTAAAACGATTATGGAACTTAGCTGTCCTGTCTGTTTCCTAGGTACAGTATTTTCATTTCAATTGTGAAGTCATTAGGGGTCATCCAAGGTAACCATTTATTAAAATAGTCCTCTTTTGTTTCAGATTTCCTGTTGAGATGCTTTAACATGTAAAAATCTCCCTGCTGATGTGTCATGTTAGCTTTCCTAACCTCTAGATAGAAACCACAAAGCAGCCTACGTAGCTGTATGACTAGTTACCCACCTACATAAACAATAATTACTGCTAAGTGGGAAATTAGATGTCACATTTTAAGTCTAAATGAAAGTAAAGTATTTGAGAATACTGTCATTAAATGCTTAAAGCTAATCGCAGTTCTCTCACTATGTTTGTTTTTTAGGACATTTGGGCTTCCAGGACAGTTTTGTCACATCAGGTGTTTTCAGTGTGACTGAGCTAGTAAGAGTCTCACAAAGTAAGTATCATTTTGTGGCGGTTTAAGTGGTTTCTGCAATCCCAGTTTGTTTTCCTTTGATTCTTATCATGCACCTTCCCCAATTCAGAAACAGCACCTTGAAAACTGCAAGTCTCTCCTCCCTGCTTCTCGCCAGTGGACAGTGTTTCTGTGCCACATCTTTTAATGTGGGAAAATAAAATAGCATAATTTTTAACAGTAAATGTTAAAAAGCCTGGAAATTTTCTTATGTCGCTTTTGCACATTCTGTTCGTCCGTGCCATGCATGCATGGGTTTGTACACCTGCAAACTGGTGAACTCGTTAATAATGCCAACAACTGTACCAGCTTCAGCTCTGATCATCTCAGCTGTGCAGAGCCATACATCTTGACTTCGCAACGCCTGCGTTTTCCATTAGCTGTATGGAATTCTGTCTTCTAGAAGGATTTGGTTTTTGACCTTTAAAGAATGCTAATGCCCCCCGCATGAATGACACGCTGCAGCGTGATCATTACAGGCTTGTCAATACTCACTAACAACAGTGAGTTGAGAGTACCTGTCACCGTCCTGTTCCATTGATCAGAGGTGCATTGGTTGTATTTTGCTATGACATAATCCAGAGCGTCCAAAGAGAGCGTACGGACGGTCTCTTGCGGAGAGACTACTGGTAAGCCAGCGCTGTAGGTGCCAGTCCTTTGGGGACCTTTTCTGCAGACACTGTAGAGCTATGCAGCCACATGCCATTGTCACCAATCACCACTGCTCCAGGTGAACTACTCAACTACATGCCCACAGACCTTAGGGCTTGTAACCAATCTCTTCACCACAGCCAGGGATAAAAATTATTCTCCCCTTAGATAGCAGGCGTATTTGTTTATGTGTTGGCTCTGAGCATGTACTTGAAGTCCTCCTAGGGCTGGAATCTAACTCGCACAAACCTAGCAGAGGATCTGTGGTTTTGAGTCAGAGCACAGATTTTCTGTAAGGATTTTCCTGTTTTATTTCCTCTTTCGGAAAGACTTGCACTAGCTAGTAAATTGGCTTTATATTCAAAAATAGCATGCTACAGGAAAAGCGTGGAGAGTGGGAGATACGTGAATGTCAGAGTTACACGCACTGGAGACAGAAACAGAGGGAGAAAAAGTTGGAGGCAGACATTTCTCCAGAATTTTCTTCCCTTACAACTAGTAGGAATTTTGTGGGAAGGCCAAAGTTAAGAGGACTTGGAAGTCAAGAGGAGCTGCTGAGCGCTCAGCCCATTTGTGGTTCACTTACTGAAGTGCTTAAATAGGAACTCTGACACCTAACTGACTGTACTGGGTAAACTAACTGACTGGTACCTGCAGCCGTGGTGGACAAAACCAAGTTACAGCCAGTCTTTAAACCTATCCGTGTTATGTCACTTTATTTCAGTGTGACAGTGTAAGGCTTTTGAAACCCAAAGGATTCACCCTCCCCCTCTGCAAGGCATCCATCCCACTTCACCACAATCTTATCTTCGCTCTAGGAGCCCTACACAGCAGAGCTGCCTCTGGACTCTGTCAGCCGTGCTTCCTGCGTGCACAGGACAGGGCTGCTAGAAAAGTGTCCCCGTTCAGGACTTCAGCCGTCACAGCCAGCCCCAGACTCCCCGAGAGTTTGGCATTGACCTCAGGAGAGTCATGTTTCATGCCTATTCATTTTCCATGATATTTTATTAGCACTAAACTAAAACGTTATGTATCAGAAATCCTAGCATTCAGCATGTTTTGCAAACTATGAACTGTGTCTGAGACGTTCCCTCGGCTTCCCGTTGAAACGCACCCCCTCCAAGGGCAGGGCTCGGGCACGCAGGAAGAGCAGAACAGCCATGAACTTTATCGGAAGTGAGAAAGGAGGTGTTGGTGGGCAAAATAAAAAGATTCAGCTTTTATCTGTTCCAGACACAGGGGTTTGCACTCTTTTTCATGATCTCCTTAATAATCCCAGGAGGTCAAGACCTCGGTTTTATATCCTGTCCACAAGCCAGCACCTCTACCAAAAATAGTGTCCCCAAAGCATATCGGGATATCACTTCAGAACTGACTCAGAGGGAAGAGTGCCAGCAACTGATTTAGCTACACGGCTTTTGATAGCACCCTGGATTTTCCTTGGAGATGCCCCAGACATGTACTGACCAGCCGTAACCTTGTTTACTTTGTGAGGGCTGAGAAGCCCGCAGCCTGACATGCCGTGGCTACCCACTGGGGTATGTTTAGTGTAGAGTCCAGCAGCAAATTCCCAGCGAAGTCGGTATGAATCCGCATGCTAATATTCCAAGAATTATTTAACATAACAGAGCAACGAAGTAATTGCTGCATATTTGCCTAAATTGGCAGGCAAGGTCTTTTTATTAAAGAGTGCGCTTTTCAATATAACCCTTGCTGGGTTGTCTGTGTGATCCCCTGTCTTGATTTGAGACCAGTCCATGGGTTGCTTTCATGCTGGGGAGCTCAGCTTATGAACAGCCATCCTCCAGACTCACCGTCAGCTATTCACAGTCTGTAGCTTGACTAATCAAAATGTCCTCAGCCTGGTCTCTTGGTTTCCCTTTCTAAGAAGTCCTTGCTCCTTCAGAAGCCACCGTGGCTAGGGAAGGGACGAGCCTGCCTGTCCATAGTGCGCCCTCTCCTCCTGAGCGTGCTCTGGGTTTGCTTCACAAAGAAGTCGTCTTTGTGTCTGCCCACTGTCATCTTTCTTTCCGTGCTTGCTGTTGATAATATGATGATAGAAATAAGTGATTTCCCACAGTTTTAACTGCCCTGTGGTTTGTTGCTGCTATCTAAAATTAATCGTATGAAATATTGTTGGTAGCAATTACGTGCCAGGTTTATTTAGTAAAGTTCCCAGAGGTCCACATGACAAGGAGTCTCAAGTAATAGGCAGTTGTCTCCGTCATGCAAATTTGGAGAATGAATTAATCAAGCGAAAGGTCAGCTGTTACCGTGATCTATCTTACCTATCAGTGCTGATCATCACAGCTTCTGTGAGTTATTGAACAAGTCCAGACTGTTTTGGTAACAGAAACTTGCTTTCTTCAGTCCTATAGATGCCGATTTTCTTTCGAAATGCCACGCAGCTACTGAATCTTGCAGAGCCTAGTGAAACAGAGAAAGCAGATCATGAATTTTCATCTGAAAAACAGAAAGTTCCCTCTCCACCCCGTCTGATGTGGATGTTGCAGACCGTGCTGTCAGTTCTCCTACATTATTAGCAGGCAAAGGGTGTGAGCTCCTTTCAAAGTGTTTTCTGTCACCCCAGATACTGGGGAGACCCCTGCAGATAGCAGAGACTTCATCCTTCCATCTTTAGAGAGGTTTGTGCTGACAACCAAAGGCTCAGAAGCAGAAGCGTTGGAGATGTCCAGGTTTTGCGAACTGACAGCCAGCTGTTGGCCAAGCAAAACCTTCCCCCCTTTCTACCCTTGTTAGGAAAATATTCTGCTCACTGTGTGCGAGCTGTCTGCACGGCGCTGGAGAATACCCTCTGTGAAAGGTGCCGGCAGAGGGGTGGCCGTGGTGCCAAGCAGACAGTCCCGTTCCCTTGGCAGAGGCTGGGAGGCTGTGGCAGGCTGGAGCGGGGCGAGAGGCGTGGGGAACGCTGTTCCCTTCTTGGCTTTGAGTCCGCAGCATGTGCTCTTGTGCAGAGAGCTGCTGGGAAGATCTCCTCCCTTGGAGGTCCTTCAAGCAGCCAGATAAACTGCACTGCCCAGGATGTGAAGAAAGATTTAGGATTTATGAACGTTCGCTAGAGCCAAATCAAACATATTTGTTTTGTGCTGTGTTATTTGTCAAAATGACATCATTCCTCATGCTGATAAACAAGGGAATTCTGACTGCACCCTGGTCTGAAAATGCCACGCTTCGAGTTTTAAGAGGTTAGCGGTAAGGAGCTGTACGGAGCAAGTGGGGTGACTTCTAATCCTTCTAATGAGCCGGTGAAACCCCGAGCACACAAGCACACACACGGTTGCTTACTGCTCCTGTATAAACACAGAAATGGTCCAGCTAATTATCCCTGAAACTGTTACACCAATTCCACAGGTAAGAGGTGCTTTTGTGGCCAAGGCATTTGGGAAGGCTCGGGATCCTGCAACACCGAGGCTGCTGGATGGGGCAGGTGCCAGATTTGGTTAGCGGCTGCTTTAGCGATGGAGACAGGGGCTGAAGCTGTCCTTGCTGTGAGGCAGGCGGACAAGTGCTAGAAATGAAAGTAATTACTGCTGTGGATGCGACGGAGGAAACGCAGCTTCCTCACACCTTTCTTTCCCGTGGCCAGGTACAACTGAAACAAACTGCAGGGAAAGTCCTGCCAGCCCCCGTGTGTGCTGGATGGGGCTTGCCCCAGCTCCCGGTGTGGGTCAGGGAGGATGGTGCTGCCTTCCTGCAGCCCAGGAGAGGAGAAGAGGCTCTCCTCTGCAAGCCACGGTGTAATAAAACAGCTCTGGCTAGACAGCAGCCTGTACGTTTTCTGCTATACTAAGCATTACCGTAGTGAAGGTAGTTAAAGTCAGCAGCAGAAAAATTAACATTTGTAAAGATACTCCATATTCCTTAGCAAAGCACTGCTATCCGAAACGCACTGTTTGGGCTTGGGTATGAGAGGAAGAAAAAAAAAAAAGATTATAATAAAAAATAGACTGCAGGCATAGAGTGAACAGTTGCCATGACCTTGCCTTTTGTATGCCATTACACAATTCAATGGCAGTCCACTCAAACCTTGCTCTCGATCAATATCCTATTAAAGCAGCACAAAAAGTCTCTATAAACTTAGTGGTTAGCTATGTTTATAAATGGAACTCAGCATAATTAGATGGTCAATAGCAGGCTGTACTTGTAATTTTAAAATGAACATCACACATTTCATATCTGTTGTATTCGGCACAACCTCTTTGAGTCTAATGATACAATGCGTAGGAAACAAAGGCCTTGCAAAAAAAAAAAAAAAAAAAAAAGAAAAAAACCAGCCCAGGTCCCCTTTCCTCTCAGCAGCAGCAGCAGCACAGTGTGTTTCCCTTTGTTTATGGAGTCACAACACAGGAAAAAGTTTATTAGTCAAATGTCATGTTTCTCCCATTTAACCTTAAACACATTATCACTTTGCTGCAGCGTTACACATGTAGTGATCTTAGTCACATCCCAGCCTCTTTGTAAAAATAAATACATAAAAATGGGAAAAAAAGGGAAACTAAATATTAACATGACTAAAAGAAAGTGCTGGATTCCAAGGAAGACAAATGCCAGCCTGGCTGGTTTTATTTAGTGGGTTTCCTGTTCTGTAATTCAATCAATTTTTCAAAATAAATATTCCAATTGGGTTAAGTCAGAGGGCTTTTTGGGAATTTCTCTGTTATTTTTCTTGACATTTTGGGTGAAGATCTGAGCTAACGGGCTGGCAGCAGGGGTGATGCTACCCCACGTCCCCGGGAGCCGCACAGCGTGGGTGCTTGCCCGTCCTCCCGGTTTAACAGGCATCCATCAGCCCCAGCTGAGGGCTCTTCCTTTGGGGCAAACGAGCTCCTCCAGCCCCTTGGAGCGAGTGAAACGTGTCCCATGGGCACAGGGATTTTTTTTTGTGATGCCAGCAGCTGAAATGGGAGCAGAGACCAGGCTCTGTTTGCTCGGAAAGCCTGCGCACATCAGCAGGCTGGGTGTAAGGGGAAGGGGGGTCCTTCCTCCGCGCCCCCCGCCAGGTCGGAGCCCCGGGTCAGATGACATCTTGATGCCAGCACGTAGGTGGAGACTATTGTTTTGACTCCTAACTGCAATTTCTGACATCCTTTCCTGTTTGGGAGATGTTCCTGAGCTATCAGAAGGTCACTTTGCTGCAGAGCATTTCTCAGAGGGGGGAAACAGCAGGGTTTTAACATCGGTGGCCTGGAGTTTCTGCAGGCTGCAGCGTGTAAACGGCTGGTTGTGCTGGGGTGGAGCTTCCCAGCCGCTCTGCGCCTTCGTGTGGGGCCAGAGCCTGTTCCTGGGGTCGAGGAACAGGGGTGCTGGGAGGTTGCATGGTGGATCATCATGTGCTACAATGAAAAGGGTTAATTTAGTCAGAGTTTTGCCACAGTTTGCATCACTTTCACCCATTTGCTTATTTTCTGGAGCTGCAGCCTTTGCAGGGACTTGTGCAAATAAACGTAAGCGCTCCCTTTCCACCAGCATAAGGTGGACAGTCCGCAAAGGCAGTGTGAAAAGCCATTTGGACCAGGCTCAGATACCTCCTGGCTGAGCTATCTGCATGGTTCCCACTGCCGTGGCGCGTTGCACTGCAGAACAGGAGGGGAACTGGAGGAGGCAGATGCCAGGCAGCAAGCTCCCCGCGGCCGGAGCCCAGCGCGGGAGGTGCGAGGTGTGGCTCAGCTCCACCGAGGCTGAAACAGAAAGCACGCACAGCTTCAACCAAATCCCACCTGGGAAGAGGAAGCAACCTTCTGCCTTGAGGATGAAAATCTTTAACCTCTTCTGGACAGTCTCAGAGTGGGCTCTACACGTTGAGGTGGTTTATGATAGGAATGGGGTAACTGCGAGCAAGGTACAAATACCCTTTGCTAAGAATATGTGCCTGTCAGGCAGGAGAAGGGTTTTCAGAACAGCTTAGCCCTGCACAGAATTTGCCACAGCACTTCTAGAGCCAGAGAGCTTGGGTTGGTTGTGGCAGGATCATGGCTCCTGTGTAAGGATTGCCGAGGGGTTGCAGGTACTCAGGGTTGCAGGTACTCACCGCCCCAGGTTAGATCTGCTGGTGTATATCAGAGGTGGGTTTTGTTCTTTAACCCTCAACTTGCAAATGAGCTTTTGAGTGTAGCAAGGTGGTTTGGCCTGGGACAAACAAAGCATCTTTCATGTTAGCTACCTGGGAGGAAATTACTGTGTGATTAGCCCTTCCTACTTTGCGCTGAGTTTACACAGCGTTCGCAATATGTTGTTCCTACCCCACCCCTGTCTGGAGATACACTTCATTTTCCTCTGGGGCCAGCTGAAGGGTTGGAACAGAAACATCCAGGATTTGGGGGAGAGAGCAATAAACAGAGGGAAGTGCGAGAAAGGAGTGTTATCTAGATACCAGTTTTTTTTCCATATCTCTTTGGAATAAAACTGTTTCATAAATCTTGCAGTGGCTTGGAAGTTCATTGTGCCTCGGAAAGAAACGGTGCTTAATTTAGTGCTTGCCTTTTTACGTTCCCGTTTGGAAAATAGCATGTTTAACCTGTAAGTTAGGCTTTGCTAGGCAGAGAATGCAGAGGAATTGATCAGCAAAGGGTTTACAAAGCACAAATCTGTTTGGCAAGGAAGTTGCTGAAAACTGTGGAGTAGATGCTGCAGAGAGTACCTTTATGATTGATTTCCATTCAAGTCAGACTGACTGCAGTGTGGTCATTTTTCTAACCCATAACTGCTCACACTGCAGCAGTCTGCTATCTGCAGGGTGTCTGAATTATAGCAGTCCATGTCCGTGTTACCTTTTACACAAATTACTTACACTGGTTTCTTTTTCCATGCAAATTCATCAGTTTTACAGCCTCTTGTAGCTGCTGTCAGGAAACTGTTGCAGAAAGCACAAATTGATAAAACGAGTTAATTTTACTGTGCTTAATTTTTCTTTCTTTCTGTTAACACACCCTCTCGTATGCCCAGTGTGCAGGAAGCGTATGAGAGTTAAGAGCAGATAACAAAGGATTTGAGCGTTCTTGTCATAAATTACTTCCCAACTTCATTCCTTTTAACGATCATTCCAGATTTTCTCAACTTTTAATGACGTTGTGTCATTTTCCATCCCATGCTTTTAAAAGTCCGTGGCTAACCAGGCTGTTCCCTTTCTGCTTCAATGACGTTCTTAAAAGATCCTTGCCAAACAACAACTAATTGTCTTGTGGGGATGATGAGGCAGCTGCAAAGCTACATTATTCCTCTGGCAAATCTGACACTCTGAGCTCCTGAAGACTTGGGGTGAAATACTGGCCCCATTACAGTCAATGGCAGCACTCCCAGCAGCCTGCGTTTCAGCCCAGACATGTTAGCTGGGTGATAGGAGCTGTCCTGTCTTCGTTTCCTCACTCCTGCCCCATCGGAGTGAAAGATTTTTTCATGTTTGAAAATGGGCCAAATTCTCAGAGCAAAGATTAAACTTGGCTCAGCATCCTTATGTGGCACTGAGACTTGCTTCGCCTTTGTTGCTGTGAATCAGGGCTCTCAGACAATACGTTCCAGGCTGAGTTTGTGCATTTTATTGTGCAGTAGGTCCTTTTTTCAGATGGCTCTGAAATGGGAGAGAAAATCATGATCTGTAATTGTCAGCTCCCAAAGATCCTGGAAATAGCACTGGAACAGCGACAGTGGATGTGGTACCATTCGCCGTACAGTGGCATTTCTTCCTGAAATGCATTATCTGTTGACTTTAAATGTAAAACCAAGGCTCTAGGACAGGGAAATTAAAGGTGTTCAAATCCCTTACAATAAAACTTAGGTGCTGGATAATGTCATGGGAGGTGAACAGTGGAGGCTAACTGCTGGATAAAAGTTTTTGAGTGTCATAGTCTCAGTCCAGCTCTGATTTGGCTGCAGGAGAGGCCAGAGGAAAACTCAGATGTTCACCGGCAGAAAAAAACTGCTTTTGTGCTTTCTCCAAGGAGCATTTGTAACCTCTGTGCTTGTGGATGTACAGCACATATATACCAGAGGTCCTGAGGTGTGTATTTCCCTGCCTATACTGCTTATAGATTATGCCAAGCACACTACAGGGATGATGCAGCCTATTTGTAACTCTGCCAATAGATGCAATCTTGTCCTGAAAGCAAAAGCAACAAGTTTCATTAAATGTTAGAATTATATTGGTAGAAAAGCAGTGCTTAAAGAAAGGCTTGCCATAATTGTTTAATTTTTTTTTTATTTTTTTAAAGAATACCTTTGAAGGAATGTAAGAAAGAGTCTATGTCATGGAATATTGTATTCTTGATAAAATTTACATCTTCTTGATTGCAATGCCAGTTACCATTTGCATTTCCTGATTTCCACATCCCCTGTGTTCTCATCCTGCAACCAAACACACTCATGAGGAAGAAGAAAGTGATTTTGAAGTGCAATTCGTGCCTTCTTCACATGACTTACTGACAGCAATCTCTTTTGTTTCCCCAGCACCGATAGCTGCAGGAACAGGCCCTAATTTCTCCCTCTCAGATTTGGAAAGTTCTTCATACTACAGCATGAGCCCAGGAGCAATGAGGAGGTCTTTACCTAGCACATCCTCTACCAGGTAATTTAATCTCTGCCTACTACCAGGTTACTTGGAAACACGGGCCAGCATCATTGCTCGCCTGGGAAAGTGCCCATTAAATTCTTTGACAAGCTGTTTGGGGGCCTCAAGATGTGGAGCTGTTTCAGACTCACAGAGCTGAATGTTCAGCTGGATTGCTGTTAAAGTTCTTTTTATACGTACAAGCTTCAAAGAAAAACTGCTGCACCCACTTGTATAACTTCTGGCTTGTATCTCGGTGTGTCCGGAGGAGTTGCACTGGAATTGTTGGAGTTTCACTTGTGGCAGAAGAGAATTTGGAGCACATTGAAATGTGCCACTTTGTCCTAGCAGGAAAGTCTTAAGAGAGACTTAGATGCATTCTTTGTTGTAAAAAGCATTATCTGTGAGACTATCATTTTAGGATCTTGTCCTATAACACATTCTAGTTTTCATACAGCATTTAGAAATTTGCAACTCAGCCTTTGGAAAACTGAATTGTTACTGCAGATGGCTACCCAGTCTGATTTTGATTTCGGCTTAGATGCCGACTATCAAAAAAAGATATTTTTTACCTTTCACTTTAACCATCCATGAGATTAGATTTATAAACAACCCCAGTCACTGTAGTTGTTGTGAACGCTATTAAGGGACCAGACTGGTTTTTTTTTTTCCCCCACAGCCAAAATAGATCACTTATTTCAAAGACAGACATGACAACAAAGTGTAACTTCAGCCCAGGCTTCTTTTACATTTTTATCTCGATCTGCGGTGCCACCAGCTTTGCAGTAAGCAAGTACACATGTAAAAAGTCTCTATATTTTGAATATAGCAGTTGTTTTTATTTAAAAAAAATCTTTAAAGGGAGGCTCTTAGCAATAACTTCTTACCGTTTGCAGTATTTGGAAGAATATTTGACATCTTGCACTTAGCAGTGCACATTATGGAGCTCAGTGACTACAATTCCCATTACACATCAATTAAAAACTTTGTACTCTTTCTTTTTTACGTGTAAACTGCATACCCTACCATGCTCATCATTAGCACCACTCTCAGGTAGGATTTACTTGTGACTCCAGAAGTAAGAAAGTGAGGTTATTAATATTACTTAAGAGCTCAGTTGTTGCTCTTCTATTCTTCTGCAAATAGCTACCACCGATAAGGAGCTAATTATAAACAGCATGGGTAGTTAATAACTTGGTAATATGTTTGTTTTCCTCTCATTAGGCTGTTCCCAGTCAGAAAAAAAATATATTCCTTAAATACACAGACTCAGCAGAATTATCAGGCGGTAATTATATTGTATGAACACAATTTCCCCTATTGACACATAACAATTCTCTAAATTAAGGAAGGGCCAAACCTGCATTCTATGCATACCGCAAGAATTATTCTTCCTGTTTCTCACAAACTGGTTTTGCATACCCACCAGCTCCTACCTGTGCAGAGCCCGGGGTGGGGAGCTGCAGGGAGGCTCCAAGTTTTAAACCGACAGAAATCGCAGTCAAATATTTTATGTCTGTTAAATATGTTCCCCCTACACAGAGGAGCCTGTTCTTGAATGCCTTAAGTCTTAATAAAATACAGATTTGGTGAAAAAAAAAGTGAGCTGACCCAGCCTTGGAAAAGTACTTAGAAGATAAATTCTCGGTAACGTCCCCACGCAGTCTGTGCAACTCATTATAGAAAATAGAGCCAAGCTGAGTGTCTTTGGCTTTGGGATCCTCTCCCTGCAGAACTACCGGAGTCTGAGTCAGCGGCCACCAGAGACCACTGAAAGGGTTCTTCTGTCTCCTGAGCCTTTGCTGAGGAAGCTGTGATATATCACAAGGGAATCCTTTAGTACTGACGCTGGCCAGAGATACCTTTTGGGGGCTTTTTGTGCTTGGTGGCACACAGCTGCAGAGTAAAATGCTTGTGCTTGTAGGATAACGTGAACATTTGAACCAAGAATGGATTCTTCCATCGTTCACTTATCTATGCTGCTTCTTACAGGAGTGAAGTCTGGGTTAATTCAATGGCTACACTTAAAAGATTTAAAATACAAATTGGAACTAATAAATAATTTGTCTTTCAGAATAACCCATGGAAAAATCTGACAGTAAAAATAAGTCTTGTGTGACATTATTGTTTGACCTTATCACTCTCTACAACTACCTGAAAGGAGGTTGTAGTGAGGTGGGTGCTGGCCTCTTCTCTGGAGTAACAAGTGATAGGACAAGGGGAAACGGCCTCAAGTTACACCAGGGGAGGTTTAGGCTGGATATTAGAAGAAATTTCTTCATGGAAAGAATGATCAGGCATTGGAACAGGCTGCCCGGGGACGTGGTGGAGTCACCATCCCTGGAGGGGGTCAAGAAACGTGTAGATGTGGTGCTTAGGGACATGGTTTAGTGAGTTAGGTGGTGTTGGGTTGGACTTGATGATCCTTGAGGTCTTTTCCAACCTTAATGATTCTATGAAATTCTATTAAATTCTATGAAATTACTATATTCATTCAAATTGAAGAAATCATGCAATACAAGTTAAATTCTTGCCTTTTTATTAACCTGTGTGTGCTTTGATAAATGTCCTACATTTTGATCCATAAAAACCTAGATGTTAAACAGTCCTCTAGTTAAATTAACCTGTGTTTAGTGGCTCAGTTTGGACTCCATGAGAGGTTGTTCTGTCTCACCTGAAAGCTATGGAGGACTCCTACCTTCCCCTTCTCAGGACCCTAAATCTTTACAGTTTCCATCACCAGGTTAGTCTCAAGCAGGGCTAGCAAAGTATGTCCCAACAGAAGTGCCCTTGTTCCTTTCCATACGTTTCATATTTATTATGTGGTTTTTACTTTCTCAGCTCTACAAAACGTCTCAAGTCTGTGGAGGATGAGATGGACAGTCCTGGTGAGGAGCCGTTTTATACAAGCCAAGGGCGCTCTCCAGGAAGTGGCAGCCAGTCAAGTGGATGGCATGAAGTGGAGCCAGGTAAGCCACGGCTCTCCGGAGCCCAAGAACATGATCTCCAGTTGCTCTGTTTTGTTATCAGGATACACCGAATGCTATATAGAAAGGTGATCACTTCTAAATATCTTGTAACTTCTTCTGAGAAAAGGTCAGTCTAATGAACATACTGTAGTGGTTTTATTGCTCCTGCAGCTGTGAATGTTTCTGGAGTGTGTCACTTCTGTATTTTGGCCAAATATCTGAAGTATTTAAATAACGCAGCAAAAGATAGGCGGTCTTTTTCTGTCAAAACGTCCAGATTCAATTCTGGGATAGCGGTGACAATTGCTTAGCAAAAAGCAGTACCTCTCTGGACTGTGCCCTACAGTTGTACTGTTTGAGTAAATATCCCTGAATTTTTATAAGGTAGAAGGACTTTTCAAGCATTATACAGCACTTGAGTTCACTTTGTAATGACTTTTAAGAGACTTACAGAAGGAGTTGTTTCGTTTATCTGTAATACCTGAAGTGTTATCGGAGGCTTCGTATCAAAATAGATATCACTGGGTGTAGCACTTTGTGAGATTGAGGGAGCAGCTCTCCTGCCTTTTCTCAGTTAATTTTTGTGTGTGATCTTTCTTGTTGATCATCTTTTGGGTTATGTTATGTTACATACTTAACTGTCCATTGATCATTTATCTTGATCATCTGGGTGCTTAATACTATTGAAAATATTTTTCTGGGTCAGTGCTACAGGCGTAGGTGAAGTTAATGCCTCAATTTTGCTTACAGCTGAATAGTCAATATTTATTGCTAATAAAAATAACAGAAGTCTTAATTGTTAGACGAAGGCAAGCAGTGCTTTCATCTTCAGCCTCCCGGTGTTTGAGAAGGCCTTCTAAACAGCCCAAAGGATCTTTCCCAATATGTACTTTTTTTCTTTCTTGTTTGTTTGGGTTTAGAATAGTATGGGTTTGGTGTGTTTAGAAACAACACATGCTTGTCCAGGGCCCTGTTGTATAATGAACTATCCAGCACAGAAAAAGTAAATTCAACCTGAACAGCATTAAAATCAGTTCTGTGGGCACTTGGCCAGCCACCTATATCCTTCATCATGTAGGAAACATACCCACAGCTTTCTCTGGAGACCCTGTCAAACAGCTGTCCTTTACAGCATGCCCAGAAAGTCACCAAATTTGGGCTATTCCAGACTGGGAGGGGACTGATTCCCCTGCCTGGGAGCCCTTGGAGGATCCCCTGCCAGCTGCCCTCTCTCCTCTAATGAGGAGGAGCCAGCTTGTGGGCCCTTATTGACTGCAGATGTGGCACTTTGGCAGGAGGAGAGGCTGGACCTGCAGGCAGACAAGTGCCAGGCTCCCCGTGACTGCCTGGCCGCCACCGTCCCCAGGGCTCTGGTGTTTTCAGTGAGGTTGTCCTTGCTCGGTAGACACAAGGGGATGTTCCCTCCATCAGCTCCAGGCTCCAGATGATGTAAGGCAGAGCTTCACCTTGGACTAAACTAGTCTGCTCATGGAGCAGCAAAAACACGAACAAAAGCTCAGCGCCCATTGGAAAGGAGAGATCACAACCTCCTCTGCAGACACAGATGGCTAAAAGGTGTCTGGGTGACTGCTTCTACATCATTGTCAGACTGGGGGCTAGCTCCCCCCAATTTTTGGGGTACCCTTTGTTAATGACAAATGGTCTCCGTTTGTGCAACAGCCAGAGGTTGGCTATTAATTTTGCTGTCACTTCTGGTGGTTTTCCCCGCATGTGATCATCACCTCTGTCTCATCCAAGTCCTGACTAGATGGTGGCACTGAGCTGCTGAGCTGGAGAAGAGAAGTACCTAAAGCCTTACACCCCCAAAGCACCTCCGCCACTCTTGGCACCACTGGGTGCCCATCATGAAGGACCACAACTGCCCCGTGTCAGACTTCCTGAGGTGCTCAGAAAGACAAGAACAAGGCAGAGAAGAGAAGGTTCTTCCTTCCTCATGACCTTCCTAGCTTACTACAGAAAAAAAAAATCCCAGATTCTGCTTAGCCTTGCCTGTAAAATGGCAGAAAATCACCTTGCAACATCAGGGACTCAAGCCAGGTACCAGCTAGATATAGCTCAGATTCACCAAGCCATCTATCACTGTCACAGCCCTGAAGAAGAGGAGCTTTATCCTGCCTACGTGGGATGATGCACTTTCAAACCATCTTTACGCTGTATCCACACGGCCCCACCCCAATACTTCTGCCATGGCTTTCCAGCCCCCTGTCCTCTGAATTCATTGCCTCAGCTTCTCTGTAAAGCCAGGGTCACTGCAAGAGCACGGCTGACAGAGAGATTACCGAAAGAGCCACTGCTCATCAGTGGTGAGGGACAAAACAGTACTGAAGTGTCCTTCCATGCCAGGGCAATGGTGGTATGTCACTGGCACAAGGTGCTCCCCCTGCCTTACCTCTGAAATCACACGTGGGTCTGATATTAACATCTGCCCCTTTGTATTTGTGTGGGGGCTTTGTCTCCAGAAGCGTAAAATGTTTTATGAGTCTTCAATGGGGCATCTACCTGAGAAAATATATTGGTCATCTGAAAGCTATACAAATGATGTTCACATCCCGTATTAGCCGGTGGCTTGCCACAGCGTTCCTCTCTGAGAGGGGAGCTTTGGAGCCTGGACCTGTCCCAGGTCCATCCTTTCTGATGTCTCTCCTGTCCAGAAAAAGGCCTTGCCATTTATTTAATATGCAGTCAAAATGATGGCACAGTTTTAATACACAATAATCCCTGACCTCCAGTGTTCTGTTTTTTTCTCAATGAAATTCATAGGAAAAGTTCAAAGACTAAAACCATCTTTTTGTTTGACTTGGCATTTCTTCCGTATCATTCATTTTATGCTGCGTGGGATAATGCAGGTATCAACAGTGCAGAATGATGCTGGTTCGGAAGGCAGGCTGAAGTTTTATCCTGTGCTGGCAGAGTAGCATAAACCAGGTTTCCAAACTCTATAATTAAACCCTGTCCTTTGGGTTACCGGCCAAACAACGGGAGGAGGAAATCAGACCGAGGAAAGGAAGCTTAGACTTGTCTGTGGGATGGCTGTTCTGGCTGGGAAGGAAAGTTCAGAGAGGAGCCAGCAGCCAGCCTCCCAGCCCAATAGGATCCACACCAAAGATAATAATATATCCTTTGGCTTTATTGCCTTTGAGTAGATTGCTTCCTCACAGGAGATTTAGATTTATGCAGAGATAGCTTCTTGGCCTATATGCCTTGACAGGTTTATGGGAGCAAGAGGATGAATATTCTGTCTGTGTGTGTTGCATTTGCTTAATTCTGAGGTGTGCACATGAGAAAAAGTGGGGACTCTAACGCAGGAGCAGGTGTGAAGCACCCGTATCCTTGTGCACATGTACAGACAGAGGGAAGTGCTCGCGGCACAGAGACTACGAGAGGGTTGTAGAGAAAGGTGTTGCCTGGGACGGTGCAGAAAAATTAGGTCTGCATGAGAGGGAGATTGGAGAAATGTCGCACTTGAAAGAGAGCACAGTGTCGAAGAGAAAGGAAAAATGAGAAGACAATTTTAGACCATACAGAAGGGAAAAAGTGTATAGGGGAAAGAAAAAAAGTAAGAATAAATGCCAGGAAAACAAAGATTTGACTTCTTAGAAAGGAAATCTAAAATGGAATATGTGAACTCCTCTTACAGAAACAGAGCACTCCAGGCAGAGGGTTATTTACCGCCAGCCGTGACCAGTCGCTCTACATCTGTCTCCATTTTTTTCTCTTGAACAAATTCCCTTTTTGGATACTTTCTCCCTGCTTTGCTTCCCTGTGATTGCCCCTGTAAGTGGTCTTTGGAGGGCAGGCTGTATACTCCGAACATATGTGCAAACTGGCAGGAGAACAGAAGAGGACAAAACCACTCGGTGTGCTTTTTAGCTTAGGCAGTGGCTGCTTCCCCTCTGCCTGCTCGTGGGGTCTCTGCTGAATGCAGAATACGGGCTGCACCTATTGTCCATCCACACTCCTTCCTTCCCCTTGGGACTTGGAGCACCCCGATATCTGCCTCACGTGGAGGCTTTGCTGGATCCTACATGTTTCACCCACCAGCAACGTGACCTTTCCATTCGTGGGATTTCAGAACCATAGCAATGATGGGAGGACTCAACCTTGTGTTTTTAACATCGAGGTGCTTCTTGCAAGCAAGGATGTAGCACTCTCCTTATACGTCAGATGTGACAACCAGAGCAAAAACCAACATTAATTCCATGTTCCTTGTACTCCTTGAGTCTCACATCCATTTACCTGCACTCGAAAGCTCCTGGGGAGCTCTCAGGCCTAAAAAGGCTGGAGTCTGCCAGAAAAGATGAATTTCCTTTCACAACAGGAGGGCTTAGGAAGTAAAACAAAGCAGACATGTAGTAAATTACTTCTGCTTTTCAAATACCTTTTGCGGTGTCCTCCTTACCATTACTTTATCTCAGCACTGTCGGTACATAACTCTTGTTAACTGAGAAGAAGGGCAAGAGAGGATAAAGATGATGTTAGTAAGAAAATAAGGCACCATCACAGTGGCTTTGAACTCGTGCACGAAGCTGGCCCGTGTTCAGTTCTGTGGCAGTTCTGCTTGTAATAGGGGTAAGCCATAATTACAGGTATAAGTTTTTTAATTCCATAATGAGAGAACATTGAGTTGATGTAGATCAGTATTCTGCTTACGCATTTTTTAATGCATTCTCTTGACTCAGTCCAGGAGTAACGTTCGCATTGTGCTCTGTCAGTCATTTTGTAGTGTAGCATATGGATGGGATTTGCCAATTCTGCTTCCACTGTATTTCTCCAGCGTGGCATGGAAAAGATGTTTAAGATGCAAACTCAGAATATCCTATTAGTTTCTTTACTTAGATCTTCCTGGCACTTGTATTTCCACAAGTTAGTTTGGTTCCCAGAGGACAGCAATCCCAGGAAAGTTACATGTTCGTACTCCTTGTGCTTCTTGAGGCATCTGAAGCTCTGCTTCTGTTGTGGTCTTGGCCAATTTACAGCCC